GCGATAACATTATTTTGCATGGAACAGGAAGAACATATATTGTTACGAGTTGCAGTAATTGAAGTAGTTTGAATTTCTAGTTAAATGATTTGTATAAAGTTAATATTCTCAACGTAAGTTAAATTAACAAAAGAAATTACTTGAATAGTATTTAGTGTTTTTAAAATAAAAGTTTTATATTCTTCTTAAGTAATCTGAACATTGATATCAACAAGTTTTCTTATACAACACAAGATCTTAAAGGTTAGTGTGTAGTTATCAAAATGTATAGTTAGTATGACTAGAATATTAAATGTCTAAAACAAAACATAAAACTTTAATATATTGTATTTCAGAGAACTATTGATTCAACATTAAAATATATAATATAGATAACTCAATCAGGTTTCGATGTGTTCAGCCCTTTGAACACATGCTTAATGCAACCATTAAAATTTATTGCACAAAACAGGTAGAAAGAACATTAGCACTAAAACTAAGCATCAAATTGTTGGAGTAATCATGATGAATGCTTTAGAAAGGTGTTGATAATGATGTCACCTTGCCATAGGTATGTCAACTATTTACAAAAGCTGTACGTAGAATACAAATAGAACATGGCTTTAACAATGCACTTAACTACATAACTCTTTGTCACATTTAAATGTGAAGCAAGCTATACAACTAAATGTGGTTTTTACAGTATTTTGTGATATCTTCAACCAATACCCATATTACACAGTTTGTGGTTACAATAATACATCCTTATGTATATATAAATATATTTATATCTAAATATGTAATTTGTGGACAATATTGTGTACAATTTGCACAACCAAATTATATTTAACATAAATAGAAATTGTTTTTTAATATCATATATATGAAGTTATGACATAAATAGATATGTAATTATGGATATAGGTTAAAGTTGAGTTATATGGTTGTCCAACAAAAACAACAAAATATTGCACATTTATATATACTAAAGAATACATATATCTAAATGTATATGTATTTAACAAATAAATGGAAAAAGTTCTTTGCAATATCGAAACTAAAATTTTTTCCATGAATATTAAAAATACAAAACTTAAATAACTTTTGTTTTTATCCTTAGTATATGACAAAAAAAAAGAGAACGGAATATACTTTGCTGTTATAATAAAAGTTTGAACGATAAACAGTAAAAGAAAAACAATTTACTTGTATTATACGATTTAACCAAGCATAAGACAAAATATTGTTACTACTGATACTAGTAAATGTATCCTCAACGAGTAACTAGTAACTAGTAACTTGGTACTGTATTGCCCCAAATATTATTATAAACTGCAGCTGAAACATTACAACTCGTGCGAATACTTTATCAACAGGAAATTTCCGTTCACTTGTCTATTGTATGATAAAGTATGTGAAATTTTATATTAAAAATTGTATTTATAGTGTGAATACTTAAAAGGGATCAAGTACATACAACCGACAACCGACAACCGAATAACAGTACAAAACAACAGTTATAGTAGATATAACAAGCTGACTAAGGACTTTGCAGTAAACAGACAGACACAGACAGACACCCACAGACGCATAAAAAAACTGCATTTTGTAGGATGTCAACTGCAACACAAAACAAACGACACTGTAAATGTGGTTGCAATATCAAATGTTGCAATATTAAAAGACAATGCATGAGCTTGTGGATTATTATATGGTATACAGGATTTTCTTAAGAGCGCTACATTTTCTGTAAGCAACAAGGAATATTTAAAGCATCTTGTCGTTTAACTATTAAACTTTTTTCCACTATCAAACGCTATAATTAATTCTGAATGCTATTTGGATCATACATAGTCTTAGCAGATTACGACGTTTTTTTTAGGACCTAATTTTTCCCTAACGATATAGTTAGTAGAATATTGACATTACCAATATTTAGATAGTGTAAGTAGTGGTACTGAATTTTACTTCGTTTATATATAAATTTTAATAGAAACCTTTTAAATATATTTTAAACTCAGAAAAGTTGCTACATAAAATACGAGTACTATTCACAAATAATTACTCATACGCAACGAGTGCCGATATTTTGTAGCTGTTGGGAATGGCAGTGAAAATTATTTTCAACTTGCAGAATTTTCAATAAAAATTTTTTTTAAATTATAAAATTGTACATTGACAGACACAAATAGATTTAATTAATTGCAATTTTGCTATAAAATAGTATTATTTTTTTAATTTATTGATATTATAGCTCAGCACATATTCTGAATATATTTTTATCAATTACTAAACTTAAAAATTTTTCTAAAATTTATCACACTTTTTAGCTGAGTCGACACTACCAACTAAAAGTTTAAGAAGACTTAAATTTATTTCTATTTTTCGAGTGACATATGCACAACCGAGTTAACCAGCAAAATGGATTTCCACTGCACTAACAGTCGTATCACACACTAGAGATGCGTGCATTCCAGCGTACTCAACCCACTGTATATATAACTTTTGCACTAGTTTGTATGAAATCGTATGTGCTTCCGCTTGCAACTGTCTGAATATTAGTCTAAGTGACAGCATTTATTGTGTTAAAAAAAATTGTAATTGATTCAACCACACTCACTCTTGCATACATACATATGAGACAAAGAGACAAAAACATAGATACAAAAACTATAAACTATACTAACTGAATCTGTCAGAGTGAGTAGCACAAATTGCCATTTCGGGTGGGTTTATATGTGTATGCAAGCTTGTGTCAACTATAAGTTGATTTATAACCTTTTTCTTGTTATGGTATTTATTTTTGGTTTGATTATACCATAGTTTCAAAAGCACACACAATAATGCAGCTGATTAAATACGGATACGAGTATTAGGTACGCATACATCACATTATGTGAAATTTTATTAATAACATTAAAAACATTATCACAAGATTTAAGCCATAAATTTTCTCATTTAATGCGTAATATGCAATACACGTTTTAAACAATTTCCTTATACCTAACTAAACACTGTCATACATAATTTACTGAGCCATTCCTTGAAATACTTAGTTAAAGTTTTATGTGCCAGTGTTGTGAGGTGGTGTGGAGCAAATTCAGCATAAAAGAAATGCTATTATCTCGTGTAATTTGCCGCAAATTAAACAATTTAGTTAACTAATAAAAATGCAGTAAAAGGCACATACAGTCACACAGTTAGTCGTCGTTCAGTTTCTGCCAATCCTAACTTTAATTTAATTTTCCTTGTACGAACATCGACGTAGCAACATTTGGGATTTCGTTTGTGTGGTGAAAAGGAGTAAGCAGTAAAGATTCTTTATTACAAGGCAACTCATAAAATTCTTATTAATTGCGTATAAAATTTTGTAAGTAGCTCCCGTAGGAATTTTGTGGAGTATCGGTAAGTGATTTAGAGAATAAGTCGAGTGAAGAGGATGAAATTTAAAAGGATTAAGTGTGGCAAACAGTTGTTAGTGTAAGCATAATTCATATATAAAATTGATTATATTGGAATTAAAATTAAGTTTAAAGTGGGTGAAATGTAAACTACAAGAACTCGAAGAAAGTAAGCAATTTTCTTAAGTAGATAAATATAAACACATTTTTTAAACTTGAAGTTAAGTACTGAATATAAAGAGTAAAGAATATTTATGCTCTTGAAGATATTAAAAAAAATTAGTATCAATTTTAAGTCTTTTGTATTCTCTGTAAATTGTACGAAGTTTAATAGTTCATTTTTTTTTTTATTATCTGTTTTTATAACAAATATATTAACAACAGACAGTTAATCTCTATTTAAAATACCTATTAAATAGTTACGACAATTACTTGTTGTACTTTACTCATCACTACTGTTACAGGTAATAATTCTAATTGTTACAATGCAGTTCCACCACAAAAGCTATTAGGAACTACATAGGTTCGCATAGGTACTTCTCTTTTATATTCTCGAAATCTCTTCAACATTATTCAAGAAAATAAATAACTTGCTGATATAGTATATGAAAATGTGTATTAAGATCAGCAAAGCTATAAAATTGTAGTTAAGTTGGTGCTGGATATCATACTCATAGACTTTTGATCGTCTATTAAAGCTAAGTCGTAATCTACATCACTTGGAACTCAAAACAAATTAACAATAACTTAAAATAATACAAGCAAAATACGGCTTTGGGTCAGTTGACAAATTCACACTGACTCTAAGCTTTAAATGTGACGGTGTACAAGTTCTTGCAGTCTTAGAAATTATAACAGTAGAAATTAAATATGATTTTGAGTCAGTTGGTTAATTAACGCTGACTCAAATTTTCAATTTTGACAAGGCACTACTTCAATTCTAGTTACTAACAGTATGGAAAATTAGTAACTCGTATAATTTTATGATGTTCTTCGTTATTTTCCGCTATAAAATTGAACATGGTATATTATGTTTAGTTTCCCTGAAGAGGACTATCGAAGAAAGGCGAAATATTGGTAAAATATTTTAATAAAATATAAACTGCATAAACTGTATAAATCGTATAAGAAATATTTCTGAAAGATCACTGATGATTGCTTTTTGGCAACACGCGAAACTGCGGTTTGGTTAGTTAAAAGTTCAATTAATAAAAATAAGATGTTGTAATTCACTACTATTTAAAACCTTTTTATTAATTGGATTAATTTTCTAATTTTTTTTTTGTTTTGATTACTTAGTTCCAGAAAGCATTTTTCTGAGGCGGTGTGTTTAAACAGAGTGTTAAAAGGATACAAGTAGTTAACTTCGATTACTAATATTTTAAGTAAAAATGAAGAAATCTTTAAAATAAAATATTAAAAAGTTTAGTATTTTCTACAAGACAGTTAAGTAATGTCTTTGTTGCTTTAAAAAGCAATTAAAATATTTTAAATGCAATTTATGTACTACGAATGTATGTCAGCTAAGCTGTGATACTTACTGTATGATAATGCACACAATAAAACATAAATTCCTTACAAAATGCATTTATGTATAAAAAGTAAATATAATAATAGTACTTACCGCATCATCATGCTCAATGATTGCTCCTCCTGTAGGACACTTTCAAGATACATCATATCCAGATCGGATACAATTGCGCCATTGATCACCATTATCTCATCTCCCTTGATGATGCCTGCAAATGACAGTGCCATCGTACGTCAAATGTAAACGGAAACAAGTAAACCATGGAAAAGATAAGAAAAGAATTGTTATTATTTGTGGCATAAAAATATCGTAAACACACAATTCGCAATTCACAATTCACAATCAACACAATTATATTTTTTGAAAATAACAAGCGCACATATGTGCACAAAACTATGCCATTTGTAGATGGTTTAGTAAGTGCACAGGTGCAGAAGGCGCAGTCAAAGAATTGACAAGTGTGCACATAAGGAAAAAATGATTCTAAACCAAAGCGAGCAAGTATTCACGAATGGAACTGTTGAATGGGGGATTTTGGAATACAATAACGTATATTATGACATGGACAAAATGACAGCCAGCACTGGGACTTATACAAGTTGTAAGCATGTGTGAAACTATAACTCCATTGTCCTTTTTGTGGTGCAATAATGCAAGATTTTCGTGCCTGGCGCATAAGTAAGCAGCGGTTTGACTGGTGCATGCAGATAACTGCATCTGGTACTCTATTGTTGGTATTGCTATAGCAAACTAATATCTTTGACTTTTGTGTGTAAAGATAGTGCTATGATTTCTTATAGACACAACAAGCGACTCAAAACTGTATTGAAAACAACAAATAACGAACGGCCGTGTAGTTATGATTCATTGTGGTATATGGAATTTGTTGAGCAAGAATTCAAAGTATGTGTAGTATATATTGTACATAGGAACATTGTGATTTAAGAGATGAAATTTGCTTTATTAACGTGTGAAGTTTTTTCCTTTATGGAAAGTGTATATATGTTACTGAGTAGACTTTAAGTGCACATGAAGATTTTTATACTTCAAATTTAAAAGTTCATCTTCAGTTATTCTCCCTCTATTTTTTTATTTTTTCACCCTATATACACATTTCCGCTCTAGTAAATATTAGGACAGGGATGTTTGCGCTTTTCTTTTGCACTGAATTAACTAAACTGAATTCAACTCAATTCAGCGCAATTCAATTGAAGTCAAGTCAAGTTAACTTAAGTGAAGTCAACTCAAGTAAAGTCAACCCCGCTCAGTGTTTTTTACTTAAATTTGCATTGCATGCAAAAACTTTGCAATGTACGAGGCTGAGATACTGCGTTTATAAAAGAAAACTTCACGTGTTTAATGGCGTTTCCAATTCACAACCATTCAGGTTCATCAGTTCCCTGAGGACATTGCATACGCGTGCTTGTATGACAAGTATCACCAACACCAACAACAGCAGTGGCTCTTAGTATAACTCCTGATTCTGGTACTGGGTCTTTGATGTGCTACCTTCTTAATTTTTTCTTTTTTCATTTGCATTATGAAAACGTCACCGAAAGCATCACACGCTTACAATGCTAAATACGCTCAAGTATTTCGGTAGAAATTTTATAACTACTTGACATTTTGTTGACGCATTAAATGCAAATGTCAGCTTAAGTTGATTTAAAGTGACAAAATAAAAAAAATTGTGAAAATAAAATTTAAAGTAAAACAACAAAGGAAATCTCAAGTAGTAAATTTTAGTGCGCGACATATCAGTGGCAAGGAGGTTATGTGGGTTATATGGGTTGTATTAAGTATTTATTTAGCGCTATGTGTAATGAAAACTTGAGATCATATTTCTGAGCCTGATTCTTTTATGTAAAATAAAAATAGCAGTTGACTTTCTTTCTGTAGTGCCACTTCAAATCACTTCACTTTTTAAAGCGAGTGAAGAAGTTTATAAAAGTTTTTGACATGAAAGCGAAAAGTATTTAAAGGTAAATGCAATCTAGAGGTACAGAATGTTGCGTTTAAAAGTTTTTCAGGTAGTGATGATTTTCTGCTCAATAATCAATATGGCTGAAAATTAAAAGTCTATTACAAACGAAACTCAGTATGCGTAATATGAGAACCATTCTAATACTACCCCAAAAGGGTTTATGTGCATTTAAACATTTACTAATAGTATTTTATAACCTGTAAATTTACTACTTAAAACTAAAAGCTACTTTGTAAATACAAATTAAAAATCTAGTAATTACACATGGTTTGGTAATATTTACTCATATATATTAAATTTGATATATTTCCGATATATGAGCAACTAAGAGTTGAATTCAAAACGTATGTTATTTGTGTTTCTGGCTAATGCATGCATGTATGCGTAACACTATTCCAATATAAATTGAGCAAAGTTTCTGTTGAATTAATGATAAAAGACATAGATGAGGCAAAATTAAGCTTTCCGGCAAGTACAAATAGAAACTGTTTTAATAATCTTTCGGTTGCTAATATATGATACAATATATCTCATATGTGGCAATGGCAGTTTACACTCCATTGGCACGTCAACAGCTGGTGAGTCGTACGAGGATACGAATATTGTTTGCAACGTATTGGATTGCATATGCAACTTTTGCATACGATTTTTAATGCTGCTTATTTGCGAAATGCAATGTGCGCAAAAGAAAATTCAATTTTAATTCCAATTATTTTCAGTATGGAATTTCAGTGCAGATGTGTGGAAATACGTCTCTACCAGGAATCAACCTAAGACCAATAAGAGCAGTAGCGTAACGTGCATGGCATGTATTGCATGTTTATGTGGTATATGAAACTAATTTGTAGGAAAATCTATATGAGAACGCAATGAGATACTTACACTTGCACTTTAAAATTTTAAGTAATTTTCGGCATGTGTATTGGCTACTACTGCAATGCAGTAAATACGAAATTTATGCTGGGTCATGAAGGAGAATGCAGTTTTATTAAACCTAGCAAAAGACTAAAAAATTTTTTTCTTTAATTCTGTTGTGCAGAAGGCTTTTAAGCTTATTTCCATACACAATAAAGAAAATGCGTAAAAATATTACTCATACGCAGTGTGGAACGTTTAAAATGTTGAATTTTTAATCTGTCAGTGGTCTTAAATTGCAGCTCAAAGACATTCAATTACTGAGCAAATGTATAAAATATAACATCTTTATTTTATGTACATTTTAATATATTTCATAAAACACAGTCGGGCTTATAAACTCTTAGGTACATATATATGCATGTACATACTTCGTTGACTTAATTTTCTTGAAATTTCGGTGCTGTTTCAACTTGACGTGAAAAAGCAGTGCTGAAATCCTTCAATAAAGCACAGTCCTTGCAGTATAAAAGCGTTAACTGTCAAAAACTTGAGCGGAAAACGGAAAATGTGGCGGATGTGTGTTAAATTAGTTGCCGCTTAACACAGAGACACCTACTTTCATATTAACACAAGGCACGTAGCAGTTTACTTTTCTTCATTTCTCCCCATGTTCCCATATTAATTTAAAAACACGAATTTTTAAGAATGTTATAAATGATTATTAAAGATAAAAAGAAAATTGCGAAATGAAAAAATTATGTGTAATTTAGCATTTTTCCAGTCAAAAGAAAATTAAAAATATATAAAAAAATAAACTCTTTCACTTTGCAGGAAAAAGAACTGACAATAAAAACGCATTCTTATTTCATTAGAAGTACATATCCTTGTGTCCTTGTGTTTATAGAGTTCATACATATGGTATGTGTAAATGGAAAATAAAATAAATTGGCATAAAATTTTGTGCCAAATTGACAATAATAATTTTCATACAGCAAAAGGATTAATAAAAGTGTCCTTTGTTTCAATGTGGAAAAAAAGATTTTTTTATGCATCACTTTTACATATACAAGTTTTGTGTGCAGTACAAAGAGGACAAAATAAAGGGGCAAAGAAAGGATTTAACATGATTAAATGCGGGGCATTAAATTGAAAAAAAAATATGAAAAAATTACTAAGCAAAAATTTTATTACTGGAACTTTTAAATTGGCTCGTTAAGTTTTATTCCACAGTTTGTTATCCGTTACTGAAATCAGTTTAATTCCTTTGTTAGCTTTCAGGCAGAAGTAAAAGCACTTCTTTTATTGTATTTTACTTCAATCAGAAAAATTCCTTTATTCAAAAAGCGATTGACGTATATGGTTCAGTACTTGACTTATGGCTTACATCTACCTATCTGAAGCAGGAGTACAGAAGCATTATGCGGAAGAAATTAGTACTAGCTGCACTGACCAAAGGTAAAATGTACTTTACTTTTACTGAATGAATTATTAACTTTAACTAAGGGTGGATATAACAAAAAATAAAGAAAATAATAACACATAAAATTTAAGTTTTAAGTGTAGAATATGTCATACATCTCATGACTTACATACTGTATAAAAAAGTCTTATAAAATTAAAGTATTTAATATGCTTTAACCCACTATTTTGTAGTAACAGATGAACTAAATCAAAAGTAGTAAAAACTTTAAACATGATGTGAGAATGTTATTGCATTTGTGCTATTAATCACCTAGTGACGTAGCCAGGATTGCGTCAAGAAGTGGAAATAGATAGAGTATAGAAAATACATTTTTTACAATGTTTTTCTGTAAATGTTATTATATTGTCAAGAGAGATATATCTCCTAACTCTGCACTGCCACTGCATACAACATGAAACCATATTAGGGCACTCATAATTTAGACTAATGGGCTCAAATTTTTTATTTCGATTTTGCACTATTACTATACTCGGCTACGAAGTTAGTAACTCGAAATTCTGAGTACTCTGAGAGATCCCTGACATTATTCGTCATTATATTCTTTTTAAAGTCAAATAAAATTATTCCTAGCTATTCATTTCTTATGACTGTCAAGTCTAATACATTTATTTTAAGACCTTTTATTTCCTTCTGCTTTTTATACTTGAATATGTTAAGACCAACAAAATAGAGCTCTTTTTCAGTAATATTTTCATTGTTCTCGTCAGGTTTTTTCTTCGAAGCCTAACATTTTTTGGGTTTTGTAAATTTGTCGTAATCAGTAAAGGCCAGATTTAGAAAATATAACGCATTACTTTGTTGAAAAATCACTTTCTTCTTTACTATTTAGGGCTAGTCTTCTGTGGTTCTAATGATCAAATGTTTACGTCAAACATAAACAAGTTACCTTGTTAATATCTATACGATTGGAAGTTTTTGCAATGTGTGGAGCTAGAACATTTGATATGCCCGAATGCATTGGCGATGCACTGAGGGTATGGGTTTATAAACACTATGCCTATAAACACTTATAAAACAGTATGGTGTGTTCATGAGGGTGGTGGAGCTTGAATGTGCCAATTGGGGGACTGGACGTCTGAACACCCACTCAAATGTAAACGAATAAATTTGTGGCAATAAATTTGTGTAACAAATAACCTTATGCGTTATATTTTAATATGAACATTCTTGAAGTAATCTTTACGAAGAAATAGTTTTCAATAATCGAATCAAATCCAGCTAAAATGAAATATAAATATATCAGTGTTTATTATCACGTGCTTATATTTATAAGACGTTTTTTAGGTAACAATCATTTCAATTACCGCAAATGTGACACAACACAGCCGAAACGTTAATATAATTTGGACTTGCAAAGTTCATTAATACTTTTTTCTTGATTTCTTTATTATATAAAGTTTGTACTTCAATTTAAATTTTAATTAAATTTTGTAATTTTCTATTATAATAGTAAAAGAGTTTTATAAACTTTAATGGACTTCGGAAGGAAGTTCTAATATCTTACTTAACTACATTAAATTTGTTGAAATTGAAATTATATTTGTGCAGAGCATTAAGCATTTTTAATTCTATTCAAGTATTGAAAATTAAAGTAAAACATTTAAATTGTTAATTTTTAGAAATACTTTGTGTAAATAAGAAATATTTCTGATAATTGTAAAATTCTATATATAATATGAGTAATATTTATCTTACTATTTGGTTCTTTTGCTGGTTTTATTTGTATCGACAAACAATATTTGCTACCTTCCAATAAATACTATTAGATAAATGTATGTTGACTTTTAACTACTGTTTATAAGTACAATAATAAGTATGTATTTACCGCAATTAGAGTTCACTTTGAAGCTTTTATCTAGTAAAATGGATTATGTACCCACTATGTGTAGACTAGGATTCCTATACATTTAATAGCATAGTAAAATGAGAATAAAATGCAAAACTTTAAACCACATACATATAAAGTATTTTAAATAGCATTTTTTATATAAGTTTATACAAAATTTTAATTAATTTTAATAAAGTTTTTTATTTGTTCAAATAGTTTTAATCTTTTACAAAAAAAAAAATATTTATATCGTGATTGTTATTTCAACTTTTTTCTACTTATTAGGTATCCTTTGTGTCACTATAGTCATTGGAAGTTATTAGTGTAATCACAGCTCGGAGAAGTATTAATTATATTCAAAATTATGGAGTGAATACAAAGGAAACTTTTTTTTTGTTGGAAGAAAAAAAAGGAATTGGTATTAATTAAAAACTAAAGGAATATTTACTTTTTATTTCATAAATGTAATGATAAGCTGATAACATCAAAAAGCTATCATGAACGCAAATAATTGGCAAAAAATTTAAAAACATAACAAGCTTCTCATTGTTGAAATACAAACAAATTTTTAAAATTGTGTTTAAAATTGTAAATAACAATAAAAAGTAATTCTTAATCCTCTTATGTTATCCAAATTTTTTTTAATTAAAAAAAATTATATGGTAAAAAATGTATAAAAATGTTGAAATGCATTTAATTAAATGAAGAAGAAAAAATTATATAGAAATCATATACATTATTTTTATGCATGAGTTTTTTTTTTTGAGTTTAATGCGGAAAAGGTAAGAGTATTTCTGGCACAAAAATCGCAATTGAGGAAATAATTTTGTTCCTGGTGGCAGTATACTTATCTCAATTTGAACACATATACAGTAAGACCCCGCTTAATGCTATTTCGTTTACCGCTCTTTTATTTCAACCCGAACATTTAAGTAGATGTTTGAAAAATCTGACGGAAAAGGGAAATAATCAATAAGAGAATTTTGGAAAAACTACGATATCATGAATGCTGTAGTAAACATAAACAATTTTTTGAAATGAGATAACAGAAAGATCTTTAAAAAGAGTATTGAAGAGCATTTGGCCAGTAAGAGCCGTAGACATTGGATATGGATGAAATAATGGAAGACATAGAGGAATTAGCGAAACAAACGGGTTTAGATGAGGTAAATGTGGAAAACATCGAAAAAATAGTTCAATACACCGTAGCTAGTCTTTCTAATGATGAGCCTAAGGAATTAATAGCGTAAGAAAAAAAACAAAAGTATTGACAGTAGTGATTTCGAAGAAAAGCAAAGGGAACCCTATTATTTACATGTTAAGATAGTCTCGTTTAGCGCTTTTCGCAGTACGCTCCATTTTAATGGAAAAAATCCTACGCGTTAAGTAGGGTCTTACTGTAATAAAATTCATTTGTGTTTGGACTACAATTTTCAAGATTGTTTCATTGTAATTCAAATCATATATCTATACCATATTTTAAAATTCTCATATATTAGTTGTATTAATTTTAAATTTTAACTTAATCAAAGATTTTGTGCACTTTTTTCTTTCAAAGCATAAGTGTCAAGTCACAAATACATTCTCGTTGTATTATTGTTGGATCTATAATGGCACCCATCGGCTATGTGATGGTCCTCAACAGTTTGATGACTTCAAAACATTGAAGTATTTTCTCTTCAATTGCATGAAAACTTTCACAAGTTCACTGTCAGGTTTTTATAAAAATTATTTTCTTACTTTACATATTTACATTTGAGACAACTTAGTTCTGTGGATACAGTCCACGCAGTCATTGACTTGATGAGGAAATTTTATTGAACCGAAAATTATGTTTGTTCCAGTTTATTACATTTTTTACTAGTCTAAGTAGTATTATTGTATATTTGAAATTTTAAATTAGTTTCGACGATTTAGCCGAGATACTCCAAATTAGGAAATTGAGTCTTCATAAGATTAATTTTGATGAAAATCTCTAGAATAATAACAATTTATACAAAACACTTGCTATATGAAAATGTGAAGCTAATTTCTCTTAACCATTTCTTATCAGATAAATAGTATTTGGTAGTAGCTAAAAAGTAGATACCTGATTAACTGTTAAGTAACAGTAAACGTAAGGGTTTTTATTCTCCACAGGGTTTCTAGTTCTGAAATCAACCAACTATTAGCCACCATCAACATTTTCAAGTGGTTGTAGAATATCCAAAATGTGAAATCAAAATGGATCAGATGCACTCTCATTGCTGTTTGTGATACGGTGATCTTAGGTTCCAGTTTCTTTCTCAAATAATTTTTGTTTGATTGATATAAATATATATTATCTTGTGATAGATTGACGAATTAATTTTCCTTCATACTAATATATTTATTTAAAAGTTCATGTGAATTTCTTGTATTTTTTTATACAACAATTTCTCTATTTCTGTTTCTGAGATATTTTTTCATTTAAACTGAACATCTTTTTCTGGAGTATTCGTGTTTGAAATGTATAAATAGATCGTAATCAGTATAATCAATTAATTGCTGTTACTTAAAGCAACGGATTCGGTTAAGAGAGTCTATTATGGAACGTCAGCGTTAAACAGTCCCCAGGACAAGTGTATTCTACAGAATATTTTGTTATTATTAAGTAGATTAATTATTAATAAGGCCGCTAAATATACTTGCAATGAAACTGTAGAATATGAATTCTATATATAATTTTAATAAATTTTCTGTACATAATTATTATTAAATGCCTCGATAACTTTTTGCTTCACCAGTTGGGCTATGTACTTGATGTGTTTTTACGTGCGATGCACAATTCTTGGAATTATCATTTTCTTGGAATAAATGTTCGAATTGCATTTGGTCTGTCCCCTGTTAAATTGTTTGTCAGGATACATTAAGTTTGAATGTTATTGTATATTACCACAACCTCAGAGCTGTCTGTTGTCCCTAGTGCAACACACCAGTCTGTATAACCTTAATAGCACATAATTAAATGGAGACTCAATGACAGAACATTATTCTTTCATATACAAATTTTTTATATAAAGTATGTCATTCCAACCTTTAAGGATCGTAAAAGTTGAAATTAATTAATAATGTTTTTCTTTAATTATGACTAAATTTGAGGGTTTTCGGCTAGGCAGTATTTTTCAGTAGCACTTCAAAATAATTAAAAATATCTGCACAATAAGAGCTTTTATCTTTACTGAGTTGCCAATAAAACTACTTAAACGGACAATATGTTGTTGACTGTATATTCAGTTGAGTCAAGTATTTGTGCAGGTGATAATCATATTATTGTCAGCAATAATTTTAAATCCCTATGATTAAAGCAGATAAGTTCGAGAAGTTATATATTATATATATGGTATGTGTACATATATCTCATTGCTGTACAAGTACAAATGTGTTGTCGTGTCATATAAAAAATATTTTATTTTGTTATGCAGGTTTGTGCTTGTATCTCTCGAATTCAATTTACGAGCAACAATTTTTTGTGTTTATCGAAATATTTTTACATAATTGCATTAAGCACATTTCCAGATACTCATGAATATATACGTTATGTACGCACAGTGCTGCCATGATTGTTATATCTATCGCATTAATTCAATTTTTACACGATAATAAGTTCAGGAAGGACAAATTGCATTTCATGCAATCCGTGAAAAATGGTGAGTTTTTTGTTTTTTAATTTTATACGTCACACTTGGAGCTTGTCAACATTTTCATACTTAATATTTTATCCAACATAAATTTGCTGCTGCTTCTGCTGCTGTTGTTGTTGTTGTTGTTGTTGTTGTTGTTGTCGTTGTCGTTTCATTGTACTGATTGTGTTGCGTTGAAAACGCAAATTCTTTGTTAAATAAATAAAAAGTAATATTTCACTCACCATTATGCATTGCCACACTCTTATCCTCGACACGACTGACATAACAGCACAACTCATCCTGTCGTTCTGCGTTCTCAATAAGTTCTGCTTCCACGGAAAAGCCCCACATTTGCTCGAGTGTTGTGCGTTGCAGTTCGACTTGGTAAAGAATTTTCATGCAGACTTCAACGAATTCATGATTATGCAACTGAAATGTATAAAAGTGATGTGCTTAAGTTAAGTTTACTACGAAAAAAAGAAAAAAAGAATAAAAAAAATTCTTAACAGTAAAAAAATCTTATACATTGAATTTTATTTAACATTTGGAATGCAAGTGCATTTTGTATGCATTTGTGATATGACAGCAACATTCTCACCGCTGACATCTGCTCCACAACGCTTACAGGACAATTACAAACAAGTTGTTTACTTGGAAATGTTCATTGAACTTATGTAATATTTAAAGGAAAATCAACTACGATTTTCTGATAAACGACGAAGGGAAAAGGAAGAAATTTACACAGTTTTCGTTTTCGTTTTCGTTTTCATATGAATCAATTTCCTCCTTCACTTCATTCTAATTGCAAACAAGTGTTTGTAGCGGAAATTGCCATTTAAAAAAGTACAGAAAACCAATTACAGTTCAAAAGAGCTTTAGGCTCTGAGGGTGGTGACGTAAACTGTTAAGCAGATTTTTGCAAGGAACAAAAAGATACAAAAAAAAAAAAAAATAAATGAAATTAAATTTCAATTTATTTATAATACAAAAAGCGTTTTAATCAAAATGATGAAGCTTCTTTTATTTATTTAGTTATTTTTTTTTTTTTTTGGTTTTTTTTTGTGTTCTTAATAAGAGTTTGTTGTCAACAAAATTAAGATGAAGCGGATTAACGTTGTCAACACGGCTTTAAGTTGATTTCATGTATTTTTTTAAATAATTTTATTTTTTTAAAAAATAATTAAAAACAACAAAACCAAATATTGAAGTAAGGATGCTGAAAGAAGGAAGAGAAAAACGAAATTATTTTTGAAAGTTATGGCAGAGATTTTAAGGAAGGAAATTAGAATTATGAAAAGTGTTTCTATAAGAGACCAAAGTAAATGAAAAATTATTACTTAAAATATTAGCAGAAAAGTTGCAAGGATTAAGATAGAATTTATTACCTTATATTAAATAGAAAAGTAATTAAATACATCTTATGCATTTATTAAAAAAACCACAACTAAACAGTTACTTATTATGTTGAGCATTTTCCGAGTTAGTGCATTTGGGCACTTTTAATCTTTGATAGCTGGGGGGTTTCTGCAGAGTCCCACCCATCTCACTATTTAATTTGTGTATTCCTTATAAGCTTCGTGATTATTCAATGTCTGCTCTAAGATCTGCGTACCTTCCCGTGCGGTTAGTGATTACTCTGAGATTAGATTAGATAGTGCTAAGCAGGGCAGCCTGTCGGTTTTCGCATATAGGTTCAGTGCTCTGTCCTATATGTATTTTTTGATCGGATCTATTCTAAGATTTCTTAGTATGTCTTTTAGCAGTTTTAAAAGTATTTTATTTTATGAAAGTTAAATACTTACATATTTAAGATATTTATATGAGACTCTGATTAAAAACAAAAACTTTAATATTATATGTTAGCTGAAAAGCTGCCCCGATATAGAAGGATATGTTAAGTAAGAAAATATATTAAGTAATTAAATATATTTTACATAATTTATTTATGAAACAATTTTTGAATACATTAGATTATTATTATGTTGAAACTTTTCCAAGTTAGTACATCTGGGCACTTTTACTCTTTGATAGCTTGGGGGTTTCTGCAGAGTGCCACACATCTCACTGATTAATTAGTGTATTCCTCATAAGCTTCGTGGTTATTCACGAAATTTTAATTAACAAATTAAATACGAACATAACTATATAAAGTATTTTGTAAAAGAAACAGCTCTTTTTATTGCAATAGTAATTATTAATAATATTATAATTATTTAATAATTACTATATTATTATTATTATTGCAATTATTTATTCTTTTAAAGAGTTTTTAGCAATAACTAAAATGTTTAAAATTGAAAATACAATATGACTAATTTAACCACAATTGTGGAAAAATATTTCTTGTATTAAACTTTAAAAAATATCCTTTAATATATGAAATTTATAATTACAAACCTTTAAAACTTTAAAAGCTATTATCTTAAAAAAGAGAAGACATTCGGAACTCCAAATATTACCAAAAAATAATGTCTTTTATTTTTCAAAAAGTTTTGATATATGCTACCGGAAAAACGTTAAAGCAAAATCCTTCCAAAAGTGATGCTCCTCCCCATGTCATTGAACTGAAAAAATGTATCTTATCCTTGTTATTATTTTTGTTGTTGGCATTGTTGATGTCATAAAAGCATTAAAACCGTTTTGCGGCTTTTTTTGGCAATGAAACATAAATAAAATCGTAATAAATTTGCATATACCAGAACGTAGATATATTTCCCATATGCAGGCGGCAGGCGGTAGGCAGCAGGCAGCAGCCAGTCAGTCAGACGGACAAATTTAAATGAAATCTACTCTTATGAAGCCAAATGATACAAATGCAGAAAACAGTATTTTAAATCAAAATATAAACAAAACAACATATTTACAGTTCTGCTTTACTCATTAAATATGATTGATTACAAGGAACTCAGTTTGAGATACTGGAACGTCTTCACATACCAACGCACGCCAAATATACGTAAAGTTAAATTGCTTGCAGACATTTTGCTTATGTCAAGTTTATTTGCGAATTTTATCTATTTTTCAGAATAAAATTATTACATATTGTTTTTCTTTGTCTGTTATAATCAACAACTCACATCAAATTCATATACATTTTTATATATATATATATATGTATGTATAGTGTATACTCGTATAAATATTTTGTAATTCGCATTAGGTTAGTCATCATCATAAATTCTTTTATAAAAAATGCATTCATTTGTCAAGTCATGGCTTTATGATTCCAATTTTTTATTCATTTATGTTTATTCCAAATATAACCAAATAAATATTTATTTAAATATAAATATAAATATTATGCAAAACAAATTAATGCTGATTGATGGAAATGACAATTTGACTAAATGCAATATTTCCAAAAAAAATATTATAGTTCATTTATGAAGTTTTTAATAAATGAATACTTGCGGTTGAATTGATGCAGGATTACTGTCCTTTGAAAAATTTATTTTAATTTAAAAATATTTCTAATAATATTTCTAATAATATTTTTAAAAACCAATTAAATTCGTTTCAGAAAAGTTTGAATTTATTAAAAAAATATTTGTGTTTACTTTTATTTATTAACATAAATAAGAGAACAATTTTAATATTAAATCAAATCTTATTTAATATCAGAAATTTAAAATTTAATGCATGAGGTACTAATGATATAATCATAATAAATTTGGAAATAGTTTTATAAATTATCTAAAGCAGAAGATTATTTACTCTTTTAAAATATCAAAATATGAATAGTTTGATTTTATATAAATACCAGGAAGAATTACATAGAATTGTTACTTACAAAGCAATAAATACTTAACAGTTTCAATATTAAATTTGTCATAAAGTCCTTAGTTAAATATGCTTTTTACTTAACTGTACTAGGTAAACAGCAACTTTGTTAGTAGTTAGGAATGTAGACGCAATTTAAAAATTTCAAAGAAAATTCAATTGTTGGCATCACAATCCACAGAATGAAATCGCAGTCTTTTAATTAGAATCAAAATAGTTAATGTGCATAACCCGATCCACATGGTAAGTATAATTCAGAGCACTCTGAGAATCCGCTAGCACTTAAATTATAAAGAGTTTCAGACAAATTTTAGACATATTCATTATAAACTATTATACGTGCTAAAGGAGTTTTCAAACAGGAATAACTGAAGAATCCGAACAAGGACTTGGTGACGAGAATGCGACATCAGAATAGTGCGAAGAACTTGATTGAGCCTATGGAATTCATCACCACTATAACAATTCACTAATTGTTCTAATTCTTTGTTATCAAAAACTACAACAGTGGTTTAGAACTCAACTACTTCTTGAAAAAGGATTATAATCGTCCCCTTTTAACGAAGTAGGAATCACTGTGTAGTTAAGACTATGCTATGCAGGCAGTCATGGTCATGTAAAATATGAAATTGGTGTTTTTCTATCGACATGAGGAGCAAGACAGAAACTTCGCCTATCATTCACATCATTATGGCTTTTTGAATCTTGTTAAGTAATCACAACTAAGTTGCTTATTAAGAAACGTTACGATTTTTGCTTTTTAGCAACAAATTATAATAAATTTGAACACATCCATTTACGTTTAAAAAAATATTATCTTTTAAGTACAATTAAAGAACAACTAAAATGTATCAAAGTAGTATTAAAAGCATGAGATTGACTATTAAGATTTGACTGTCTGCATAAAATGTTTTTCTGGTCATGACCAGAAGAAAAGTATCACTGATGTGAGCTTTTGTCATATGACTTTTTGAAAAAATTGCTTGAAGTGATCTAAAATATGATCAGTCTATTCATTTATTGCAAATATACGTACAAGGAGCTATTAAAGTAACTACTGTAAAGATTACTACTTTAAATGTATTAATTGTGCTTTTATTCGAACTTTGGATAGTCCATCTGTGAAGAATCTAATCTAATATAATAAAACATTGACTAAAAAGTCACGAGGCTTTTATGGTAGACTTCTTCTAACATTTGGATACCAATCTTATGGTAAGATTTATGCAATATTTGGTTTGAAAAAGGTGCTTGTTTCGGCAATGACTTTATCATTAAACAATTGTTCTTTTCCTTCAGCATTGTTTAAAGATCTGCGAACAGTAGATAGTCGCTGGAAAATAAATATGTTAAGTATGTAGATGTGATGCGTCATCAATATCTGTTAGGTTATGTTTATAGTTAGAAAACCAATGTTCAATGGTATATGTTAATCTTGAGGTCTTTTTCAGCAGTTTACTTTGAACCTTACCTTGTATGTGTCTTACGTTTTCTTTTTGAATGCTTTAATGCATATCAATTACAAATGTTAATTATCATTCGATTGCATTGGCATTTATAATAATGTAAACACATTCGTTATTTAACTAAATGAATGTATTTGATACTTTTGTGTTACATTACTTATTCAAACAAATTAAGGTGTCACT